CCAGCCTGCTCATTCCAAGTAAATCAATCATGCCTTTTTTCATGTGTGCTTTGTGCCTAGTAGTAATTAAAAGGCAAATAAGCCATATTCTTTCGGTTAACAATGAGAAGATAATTGACCCATTCTGTTCTTTTTGTTTTCAGAACCATGCGGAAGATCTACCTGAATTCGTTAAGAAAGAATTGTTAGAATTAATTACAATTTGTAATTAGGGGAAAATCTCCCCTTGCCCAAACTATCGTGTGGTTTGTCCCGCACAGACGCCTTTCGCTCCTACCCTCTGGAACCGATGCCTTCCTTCGCTTGTGTCTCTCCAGATGGTATAAGTAGTGCCTGTAACCATCAATCAATACAGAGATTTTACTTTCGATCTCGAACACGTTATCACGCACATAGAACAGCCAGCGAGAGCGAAAAAGGCAACAGAGAGAGGAGTCGAGAGGGAGCACTCGCCGCCGATTTCTACAGGGACAATCTGATGGATGAGGAATTATGCCTTGTGGACAATGGTACCACAAACTCCATACTGAAGGAGATGAAATATTTCCAAACTCTAAAAAAGATGAATGGAGATATTCTAACTATCGCTGGACGCGATACAATGATTGTTGCTACTGGACGTGACATATTCACCCTCCTAAGTGGTACACAAGTGACGACTGAGGATGCTTTATTGTATCCTGACTCATCACGTACCTTGATTAGTTATCGAGATATCCGTAAGAATGGTTTTCATATTGAAACCCATGAACACAACAAAGAGGAGTATCTACTCTTTACTAAAGATCGCGGATATGACAAAAAGGTACATGAGAAAATTCCTTCTCTATTGTCTGGTTTGTACTATACGTACATCAAACCCGTGGAGCATGTTGCATACAAAGTAATTTTTCGGAATGTTAACGCATTCCAAACCTGGCATGATCGCCTAGGACATCCTGGAATCGGGATGATGGGAAAAATTACTACCAATTCCATTGGTCATAATTTGCTTGAGTCAAAATTTCCTCAATCTTCAGATTTTGTGTGCACATCTTGCTCCACGGGAAAGCTAATTTTGAGGCCTCGCACCTCAAAAATACAAGGTGAACCACTTCGGTTCCTTGAACGTATTCAAGAAGACATTTGTGGTCCCATTCAGCCATTGTCTGGACCTTTCAGGTATTTCATGGTTTTGATTGATACATCTACACGATGGTTACATGTGTGCCTTCTGTCCACACGGAACCATGCATTTGCCAAGATAATGAGGCAAGTGATTAAGTTGTAAGCCCATTATCCTGAAAGTCGAATTAAGTCAATTCGAACGGACAATGCTGCAGAATTCTCCTCACATGCTTTCGATGATTATTGCATGGCTTTGGGAATTGAAGTTCAGCACTCTGTTCCATATGTCCATACACAAGATGGTTTGGCTGAATCATTAATTAAGAGGATTAAACTCATTGCAAGACCTTTGTTGAGGAATTGCAACTTGCCAACCTCTTGTTGGGGTCACGTTGTTTCACACGCTACTGACTTGATACAATTGAGGCCAACTGCATATCACAGTTCTTCCCCTTTAGAATTGGTACATGGAAATCCTCCTAGCATTTCCCAACTGCATAAGTTCGGATGTGTTGCATACATCCCAATCTCACCACCACGGCGGACATCTATGGGCCCACACAGGAAGTTGGGGATCTATGTGGGGTACAAATCGCTTGTGTAAAAAAGATAAAGAAATGCCTCGTGGATAGTTAAAATGAAGCATCAGAAATTGTTTTTTTACACAAGCCACAAAAAACGTCGTTTTTCACTGAAACCTTGTGCACGCACATAAAATGTCCGGATATACACACGGGATTTTTGTTCCAAATTTTTCAACTTTTCGAAATGTGTATTTCGACAATGGGTGCATATGCACCTAGGAGCCAAAGGCAATTACCGGCTTCGTGATGGAATCTCTGTCCCGAATAAAAATGCAAAACGCAACATGTATTGTGTAAAGTTGAATAAGTCATTATATGGCTTAAGGCAGTCGGGACGGATGTGGTACAACCGGCTCGGTGAGTTCCTTCTTCAGAAAGGTTACTCCAATAGTGCTGATTGCCCATGTGTTTTCATCAAGAAATATACTACACGATTTTGCATCATTTTTGTATATGTTGATGATCTCAACATCATCGACAACACACCAGACATTGATGAAACACGCAATCACCTAAAGATGGAATTTGAGATGAAGGATTTGGGTAAAACCAAATTTTGCTTAGGCATTCAACTTGAGCACCTTCCCTCAGGAATCACGGTACATCAATCTACCTATATCTAGAAAATATTGGAGAAATTCAGACAAATCCTATCCATCTAAAACTCCCATGGTGGTTCGATCTCTAGACGTGGAGAAAGATCCATCCAGACCAAGGGATGATGGAGAAGAGGTGTTGGGACCTGAAGTTCCATACCTCAGTGTTGTTGGAGCGCTTATGTATCTTAAATTGCACAAGACCTGACATTGCATTTGCAGTGAATCTTCTTGCAAGACATAGCGCAGCTCCCACCAAACGGCATTGGTCTGAAGTGAAGAATATCTTTTGATATCTTCAAGGCACAAAGGATCTTGGCCTATTTTTCCAATTCCAAAAAAACCAGGACTCTGATATGATTGGATATGCAGATGCCGGCTATTTGTCCGATCCCCATAATGCCAGATCACAGACCGGCTTCATGTTCCTACATGGTGGCACTGCTATATCATGGAAGTCTTCGAAACAGACTCTGGTGGCAACTTCTACCAATCATTCTGAAATAACTTCATTATTTGAAGCAATATGCGAATGTGTATGGTTTCGCAGAATGATAAACCACATACAACAGTCATATGGAATTGGTTCGATAAAATCACCTACCATTATCTATGAAGATAATGCGGCCTGTGTTGCACAGATGCAAACAGGATACATCAAGAGTAATATCACCAACCATATTTCTCCTAAATGGTTTTCCCCCATAATCTTCAGAAAAGCAGGGAAATAAGCATTCTACAAGTCAAATCATACGACAACCTTGCTAATTTATTTACCAAGTCTCTACCAAATTCTACATTCCAGAAATATGTTCATGGAATTGGTATGCGATGACTTTGGGACTTGCAAGCGTTAGGGGGAGGGTCTCTTCTTGAGATATCCTTGTTCAAACATCGCATTACGCTATCTCTCTTTGTGAGTATATGTTTCAGGATCTCATCAAAGATTTTATGAAGAACTTTTGGAGGAGAATCTTTTTAAGATGATAGAGCTTCCCGGACAATTGTGAAGATGATTCTACATGGTCAAGTGTAGATTAGGGGGAGTGTTAGAATTAATTACAATTTATAATTAGGGGGAAATCTCCCCTTGCCCAAACCGTCGTGTGGTTTGTCCCGCACAGACGCCTTTCGCTCCTACCCTCTGGAACCGACGCCTCCCTTCGCTCGTGTCTCTCCAGATGGTATAAGTAGCGCCTGTAACCATCAATCAATACATAGATTTCACTTTCGATCTCGAACAAGAATGATGCTACAACGCCGGCAAGGCATGACCCATACAACGTCATAGAGGTTCGACTAGACACAACACCCTAAATGACCTAACTTTTTTTCCGAGGAAATAAATGTAACATTACAAGGAATGTATTGGGAAACGTAGTATAGAAAACAAAGGGGAAAAATATGTCCTATAAACCAAACCCAGAACACTATAAAGATGCATGTGATATTATATTGGATCTTTACAAACTAGAGTTGCAGCGGAGGAAGAGTTGATGGGTTTATAGTTTTTTTTTAAACACATGTAGGCTACATGAAGACAAATATGGTCTGGCAAAATAAAATTATATCTCAACATTACTATTTTGGATTTACATAAAATTATAGTTATATGTGCATATATTACCACCATTTCATTCTCTTCTTTTTCCGTCAAAAAAATGGAGGGCTCACCGTAGCTCAGCAATCAAAAGCTATATCACTACCACTGTGATTTTTTTGGTGTACTGCACAAAACACCGTGGTACCGCCCACCGCGGCATTATGGCTCATCTTGTTGTCACTTTACATTATCCACATCCAACAAGATAAATCAAGATGATGATGGTGATGATGTGGGTGGCCCAATCACAAGCACAACACATTGCAATTATTACCAGCTAGCAAAGACAGCAGGACAGCACAACAATGCAACCACTGCAACAACAGACAGCCACCATTGCATGCTCCTCTCTTCTTTGACTGTCCCATAACTATCACAAGAACAAAGACCAGACCACAAACAACACAACATAGTGGTGTGGTGTCCTGAGGTGGCCCCTGCCTAGTGTCCACCCCACCCCCCACCCAGCAAAAAGGTGATTGTGCCAACTGCCTGCCTGCTGATCCATCACCTTAACAAGACATCAACATTGCACTACAAAATCATTATCATTATCATCATCATCATGATCAGTTAGCACTCAACATTCAGGCAAGCAAAACATCACTTCACTAAGCTCATAGACATAGAGCGCTGCTACACGGACGACAGTTGCCAACCGAAAGATGCGCGGCATGTCATGTCGTACCATCCATGGGCAAGCGCGCGGCATGTCATGTCGTACCATCCATGGGCAAGCCATCGGTGCGCATGTCGTTCAGCAAAATGTCGTCCGTGAAGGACTTCCGTAGTAGATATATGTCACCAGTGCTTAACATAATCAGTTAATTGATATACCAGGTCTAACACAAAGGGATATAGCAGGACTCACTCACAACAATCTGGATGCAACTCCTCACAAACATATATAGTATTACTAATGACAGTTAATCCAAAGGTAGCAGGACTAGCAAAACTTCCAGCAAATAAACAGTAAACAGAGAGAGGGGGAAGGGGGGGTGAAGAACAAGAGCCATGATTTTGGCCGGTTTATTGCTTTGTGCTCAGCCTAGCAGCTGCTGAGCCTCCTCTGCCTCCTCCTCCTAGGCGAGGAGGAGGAGCCCTCTTCAATCACTGCATCACGGTGATGAGCTCAAACTCGACCAAGGACACGTTGTTGTCCTCCTTCACCTTGAAGTCCGCGGGGCTCTCAGCAGCCTTGAGCGTCCCCCACTTGTCCACCGCCAGGCGCATCGACCCCTTGTACATGTCCACCCTCGCCTTCCTCGCCTCCACGACCGCCCCGGGCTTCATGATGTCCACTGGAGCAAGAAAACGCACGATAAATTCCAGTCAGGCCAGTTGATCAATATACTAGTAATCAAGTTAAGCCAGCAAGCAATGAGGGGTCATTGATAGGATGTTTGGACTGAAACATACATGCAGCAGAGAGTATCATGATTTCAACTTAAACATCATTCCACAAATGCCATGCAGTGATTATAGTGCGAGTTAGTTGAAGTGCCGGGCCTGTCGGAACTAGCAGAATTTCTTAACAAGATAGATTGGAAACCGGCTCAAGGTAAAGAAAAACAAATTTATTGCAATCCAGAGAGGCAGGTCACCACCGGAAACCGGCCCGGGTCCAGGAAGTTTTGCAAACCCAGAAAGTAAAACCATGATTACATCATCAAGCCAAGCGATGAATGCACGATATATTAATACAGGGGGTATGATCAGAAGTGGGCTAATTCTGGAAAGCCTGAGCAAGCTAAACCCTGATTACAACGACTGTGCAATTTAGCAGGCAAAAGAAGAAACAGGGTAATTAAGTTAAGAAGCCAGCAATGAGTGAACATGAGCAGCAGGCTATCTGGGCTGAAACATGTATGCAGCAGCAGCAGCAGCAGCAGCAGAGCATCACGATTTCAAGATTAGCCAGTGTGTCATTATAGCACCGATGAGCGCCCATCCTGTGCCGTTAAATGCTCTGCCTGAACTAGTAGAATTTCTGACAGATAAGATGCCGATTATGTACTCGTATTATCAATCAATCAATCAGGCGAAAGAAGAAGCATGCCGTAGTAAATTTCTTCAAGTGAATCAATCGGGCGAAAGAAGAGGAAGAAGGAAAACGGAGGCGAGTGGACGGATCTGGGAGGGGCTACCTTGCTCGTTGCGTGCGGTGAATACGACGACGCCGGTGTCGTCGCCGACGATGCACTCGGCGATGCGCATGTTGCCGCCGGCCCGGCCGCCCTGCGGCCTGTGGAGCACGACGGGCTTGGCGCTGAGCACCCGGAGCTGCAGGTTGTGGCCGTAGGTGCCCGGCCGGAGCTCCTCCACCTTGTCGAACGTCATCGCCGCCCTTTGCCTGGACAGGACACAGCCGATGGACGGACGGGATCGTGGTCAGAGGGATCGGGTATGGAATTAGGGCGGTGGGGATCGGGATCTTGGAGAAAGAAAGAAAAGAAGGAAAGAAAGAAACAAGATCCGGTCCGCTCCGGTCCGGTCCGGGTTGGCGGCGGATCCGATCCGATCTGAGCTCCGAGTCCCCTGGCAAAAGCTCAGATCTTCAAGGGGGCCGAGTGCGGGCGTACCTGGCTTGGTTGCTGACGGTGGAGCGAGCGAGCGCGTCTCCTCCCTTGCTCGCGCCGCTTGGATGTGAAGACGAGATCTCGGTGGTCTTGGTGGGATGAGAAGATGAGATCCGCCGGAGGAAGGAGGAGGAGAGGTTGGTTCGCTGTGGTTTTGTCCGGGACGAAGACAGAGGAGGAAACCGGGAGGGACCCAAGATGTGTTGTGATATGAATCCAAACTCAATCCCCTCCTCTTTGTTTGCTTCTGCCGGCCCTCCTCTGGCCTTCCCCTCTCTTCTCTTCTATGTGTGTGAGGGTGTGTCACCACTCGCCGCAACCAACAAAACTTTCTTCTACTCCGATCCGATGTGAAATTCACCCGCCGACAATCTCGAATTCTCCTCAAAATTCATTTTCGCCGTTGTTGAACATGCTCGATGATTCTGAGCGGCCGAGGAAATGAGGATGAGTCGGGAGGTTGCTTGGAGAACTAGTGTCCGTCCAAGGAAGGCGGGGTGAAACGAACGTTGGTTTCCGATGGTCCATATGTTCACCGCCCGGAGCGCACACCACCGCTCGCCCGAATTTGGTAAGTGTCCCAGAATCCATCCTTTTTTAAGTTTGAAATCTTGTTATTCCCTTGGGGCATTGGGATCGCATCGCCTTAGTCCTGCTAGTTTGGGCATGTGGAATGCCAAAAATTGGGGTTACACGCCAGGGTTTGGAATAGGACCTCAACTTTGCGCTTTTCTGTTTACTGCTAACGACTCGGTACTTATGGATGTGGAATTGATGTGTTGCATGCACACTGCGCGGATCCGCATGGCCCGTATTTCTGTGTTCAGTTACTTCGTGGGGGATTTTTTGTGGGGTCTGGTAGAAACATGTCATATTTCGCGGGAAAGGGTATTTGGTTCGGTCATTCTGACAAGATGGCATGGTCACCATCAAGTGCCGATAATCTAATAGAGGAAATATGTTATGAGAAACAGGCAATGATGAAGGTGTGTGATTGTATTCCTGCTCTACAAGTCAACACCGATGGACTTAGAGAGATAAACGGAAAGGATACCATCATGGTGTTACTTGCTGCAAAGATGAAATACTTGAGCCTGATCTAGTGGACAAATGTTATAGCATTGCAACATTTTGCAAGGCATATGAGCATACCATCTTACCCTACAAAGATGAGAGAGATTAGGAAAAGATGAATGGTCCACTAGTTAAACCCCCACCCAAAAAGCATGGCAAAAAGGAAAGACATCAGAAGAACAAAAGTAAGTTGCATGTTTGTGACAATTAGTTGTTCACATTAAGGAGAAGATGGTTATAACAAAGATGGACTTCCGATTAAAGAGGCTCGACTTTCCCCTATGTTGCACGAGAGGACAACTTCAAGAGCCATACATGTTGATTCATCAAATGATGAAAGTGGCAGCTAATGAGCATCAGGACATTTCATCTAATGATGTTTCTAAGGAAGAAGAGGAGCCAATTATCACTTAGGTTTGCCCCTAATTATATGCACAAACTAACAGTGGCAGACCATCATTTACACATGGAAAAAATAACTGAGAACAATGGCCACAACATCAACTACTAATCGGAAGTGTTGATAAGATACAACAATTCTTTCCACAAGATCAACTAATTGTCATTAACGTGTGACACTTATAAGGTACTGTTGATAACTAACACCACTTATGAGAGACAAAACCCACAAGCACAAACAACACCAATACAAAGATCATTAGGATCCATCACGTCTTGATAACTAGAGATGTTTGCCATCTTGTGATTAATCCGCATCATTTCCAGTTTCAAAGTGTCAACTCTATGTAAAATGGCACTGCTCATGTTGCCAACTTCTTCGACGCTCATGTTGCCCCCTTCTTCAATTATCCTTCCATGGCCAAATCCTTAGATTGTTCTTCAAAATAAAATGTATGCAATGGCTTAATCCATTGCACGCGATCAGTTTTGAGAGATCGTGGGCTAAAACTGGTTGGGGTCGAGTTATGGACTTGTGTGTGATGATAACAACACGTCACATACGACTTCAGTAGTTACTCCGTGTGCGATACAATTCACACGATTACTAGAAAGCAATTGTATGTGATGTTTGAAGTTTCACAAACATCTATTTTGCAGAGAACGTCTGTACAGATCACGCCACCTCATGTGTTTTTGTAGCCCAAATCGCAAATAGTCAACTCTTCGAAAACGTGTGTGATTGACGTTGGTATAAATATATGCTCATAATAGGTAGTTTTACTAAAAAAAATGAGACATCAAGTAGGTAAATAAGATAGAAATTCATCAATAATACTCCACAATCCAGTTCATTACATAATATATATCATCACACACATATACGTGTGATGATAATTGTTGTACTACAAATATATTAAATTCAAAGACAAGTAATAAATTAACTAAAAATCAATAGTCCCTCATGAGGGCCCTTTCCCTGCGTCTGGCCACAGACTCCCTGGTGCGCACCGGCTTCCCAGCGCGGAGGGAGCTGACCTCCTCCGCCTCACACTCCACAACATGTGCATCGGCGGCTTCCCGGCGGGCGTAGGCCTCCGCCCTGGCCATTGTAGACAGCGCGTAGGTGAGCTCTTCGTTGATGGCCTTCTCGACGCGATCCGCCCACCTCCATGCAGCAAGGAGGCGCGAAGCGCCTCTGGCCCTCTTGGCGTTGAAGCAGCCGCCTTCATCAACCTCCTGCGCATGCCAACGCGCCTCCCGCCAGAGCTCCATCTCCTCCACCTTCCTGGCGGCCTTAGCCGCCTCTTCCTCCTCGCGCTTCTTCTCGTCCGCCTTCATGGCCGCCACACGCCTGGCTTTTTCAGCCAGTGGCAACATCTTCCACAGAGCGAGGTCAAACTGACTCCAAAACCACTCCTCGGTGGGAGGGTCAGGCGCGACCAAGTCCGGTGGCGCATAGGGATCCTCCTCGTCGCTGCTTGGCGCAAGGTCATCATTGCGGAGCAGCATCTTCTCCTTGGCGCGTGGGCTCACCGGCAGCGCCATTGGCGATGATGCAAAGATAGAGGGGGAGAGATCGAGAGGGCGAACGAGAGAGAATGCACAGATGAGAATACAGTGGGACGAGCCGTGCAGTATTTATACATACAACATCCCTAAGGGGGGAACTGTTGGCCGTAAACAGTTTATAGGTTGCTAACAAAATTCAGTAGCCATCCGTTAAAGATCTGCCAAAAGAAAAGATAAAATTCATCCATGCCTATGTTTGTTCCTTCCTTTACACACAAGGACAAAGTGACAGATGATAAATAGATACAATACACATAATAAACTGCAACAATATAAATATAATACACCATTCACACGAATGAGAACCCAGATATATATCTAGTTGGCCACCTACTAACCACATACCTGGTCCTCCTTCATTCTCCTCCTTTCTACAACCAAGAATAATAATCGCGCTACGACTACGACCGCATCCAAATGAATGAATAGCTACAGTGAAGGAAAGAAAGCAGCACGAGCCGTCTACCCGACTCCGCCCTACCCTACTTGAAGAAGATGCCCTTCTTCCTCCCTTTGCTCTTCTCGACGGCCTGCACACAAACAGAACGCGTCAACATCTTCATTTCAGTTCCATCACATGTCACACACACACAAAAAAAGCACATGCCAGCATTAACTTCAAGTGTGCCTCGACTCGGTGTGGCAATCACAAATCGAAGCGCGTTCAAGAGGCAAAACAAAAATGCCCGCACCTTCATTCTGAAGAGCCGCAGTATGAGCACGATGCTATCCCGTGACCTGCGGAATGTATCTCCCTCATCAGTTGACCATTAACACAAACGTAAGAGATATAAGATAGCGGTGGCTTGGTTTTAAAACCCACGGGGAGTTTTCTCCAGGCTTGAGGTTGTATTCGGCGCCATCCGCAGACTGGATCGAGAACTCGGTTGGATGTCCATACGGGATATTGATCTGCAAATAGATGTAGTACAAGATTAGTTGTCAAGTCTGCATACTGAAAAGGCAGCGCAGTCGAAAATTAATTATTATCATTAGACATGTATAAAATCGCACCACTGCCAAATTTGACCGGTCTCTTTCATTAAATTTCGGGAGACCTACTAAATGTATAAAATCACACCACTACCAAAGATTCTGGTACTCATATCTTAAAAGATTTTATCACAGAAAAAATACCGGGCTTTCTTGTCACTGGGCAGAGTATAATCAGAAGCTAGAACAGAGTAATTTCAAGGGAAGTGATTTTTTGGAACCATACCGCCGTAGCTTGCTGGAATTTCTCTGTGATAACAACGCCCCGCTGTCCATTACACTTGATGCTGTAGCCTTCCCTCTTTATTGCCAATACCGCAGGTTCCCACATATCTATGAATCTAACCTGCAGAATGAAAAATTTCGATGGTTATATGACATGAAGAAACAGGTGCAGCAAGAATGCTTTGGGCAAGAAAGGGGGCATACAGGTAGTAGAACTTCATATGACACATGTCCAGCGGAAAGAACTTTCTTGATGAGCTCCTTCATTTCAGGATCTGCACAGATAACGATTCCCCACTCAGCAATATGATTCTTGTAATATTCTCCGTTGTTGTGCTTAACAACCAACCAGCACAGAACTAGAATTATTTTAGGAATTCTCAGGGGGGATACCGAGCTCAGATACTTCACCAATTAGATCATGACAAGCATGCACAAGTTTATGCTATGTACCAAAAATACAAATATTTTCTCAGCAAACTCACCACAAGTAATTTT